ATTCGGCCAAACACACTTAAATAATTTTCTATTTATACCAGAAATGTCTATTTACTATAGAGATTTGATTATGAATAAGAAAATTTTATTATTTAAATCAGGAGTCAAAGTATACGAGGTCGAATGTTTGACAACAAAAGCTTTAATGACCAACTTAATAAAAGGGATTAAGCTAAAATAGAGAGCAGTCTACTTTGATTCAGGAAAAATTCCAGGATATTTATTGGCATAGACTCAGCCCTAAGATAAAAATGGTACATAAAGCTTAATGTTCGACCTATCTTACAACAAGTAGAATAATTATTAAGCCTGGCAGACTAGTTTAACTTTATTTGGTCTTCAAGCAAAATCATGAGTAAATTATGTATCTTTTTTAAGGGACATAATCATTTGTCTCTCAAGATGCATATCCATGCAGGTTCTACTAACGTATTTACGGTCTGGAAGTGAATCATCCTGGTGTATGATTTAGGAAAAAGTAATGTTCTTGTGCAGATGATTGTGAAACCAATTAAGTCAAATAATAGAATTAGCACTTGGTTGGAAATGAAATTTCATTGTAAAATTTTGACGTTATTATTGGTACTATCCACAGGATATATTGCTGCCCGATAAAGTGGTCAGATTCAAAATCTGTCAACCGTTTCTGGCTCATGGATCTCACAATTCTCGTATTTACTGAATACAGAAATGTACCAGAAGAGGCGCAATGTTTAAATTTAAAATTCTCTATGATAAAATTAAAATATTAAGGAATTGGCTCACAAATGTATATTCCAAACTACCAGACAGCTAAAAAGAGTATTTCAAAATCATAATTTTAAAAATAACTAAACATTTGTTAGAATTTTAATGGGGAGCATTGTGTCCTCATATAACATGACATTGAGGCCATTATTATTTTATTTTACATTTAATTTGGCAAGCTAATGTTGACAGTACTTTTCCGATACTAAAGTCACAATTAATAATTCTCTTGCCGGAGGTCCTGGGGGTCCATATTGTCCTGATTCTCCCACAGCCCCAATTTCGCCGAGCTTTCCTGGCGTTCCAAGAGGACCCTCGGAACCGACTCGTCCATCCATACCAATTGGTCCCTGCTTGCCGGGTGGCCCTCTGGAACCTTTTTCTCCTGTCGGCCCAAATTGACCTGGGCTGCCGGGCTCTCCGCGGATGCCACGCTCGCCTCGTTGTCCACGTGGGCCTTCGGGTCCTAGTTCGCCTGTTTTTCCCAAAGGCCCCTGGGGACCCCGGAGTCCTTGTTGTCCTTGAGGACCCTGAGGACCGGCAAGACCTTGTACACCCGCAGACCCGGGTACACCGATTGTACCAACTGGCCCCTGAACAAATAAAATGTACACCAGAAGATGAGCAGGAGGATTGCGTAATTGACAAATTTAAACACTATCTTACATTCTAATAAAACCGAAAGGATATTTTTTGTCTCCAACTCATATATATACCCTTTATACATTTTTCACATAAAATAAAACGAAGAGAAGCAGACTTTCCGATGAATCTATAAGCATGTTTTATCAGCCCCATTTAGACATTTGAGAGAGATTTGTCTGCTGCCTTTCTTTGCTCTCCTTATTTTTGTTTTAAACAGTCGTAGCGAAACTAAAAATATAAACACTTTATATTTGATCAAGGATAAAGTTCTCTTGGAAATTCAAGGGCAAACTGACATGTATATTGGTAAGAAATATTAATACTCACTGAGCCCGGAAACATAGTTTTAGATGTACACTTGCCAATATCAGCAAACACAGAAACTAGGATTTGTCAAAGCATAATCATTTTGCTTAGAGATATGCCGCAAATGTTTCGTATTTTGGCTTTTATGTCTGTCCTGTTTCAATCGTTGCTTTAAGGTCCGATATGGAGTAATCTAATAGTTAAATATTTGATCTATGTTTTTGATAGGATCAAAAACGGGGTGAAGATTAGAGGAGAAATTCATAACATCTATGTTGTTTTGCAAAAGACTAATATCAGTTTGCAGAAAACTGCCCAAAGTTAAAAGGTACACTGGTTACTTGGTATACTAGAAGAGAATGCGGTTCCAATTAAGGGTAATTAATATGCCTATTCTAGCGTAGCAACGTTATTGGGAGCGCTCTGACCTCTTAAGATCTAAGCCTTTAACCATAATTTCCATGGTTGATATTATTTAATATGGGAAAAAAATAAGACAAGATAATAACGCTCATTCAACATGTAATGGTACATTTAATAGCTATGTAGACATTATCTGGTACACAAAATGAAGTAAAAGTTGTTAGTGCTTTTGTTTGAACTGGTTTTAAGGATAAACTCATTCTTTTCTTCCTAATGTAGCACCACAATGGTCGCGATATGGTCATCCATATGGCTCTATCATGAAGCAGTTTATCTATCTGCTTTTGTGTTAGGCTTTACCCATGCCGAGAGTGAGAATGAGACCAAAAATAGTTAGAAACTATGACTCTAACCCGGTGAGAATGCACCTTAGGTTAATATTACACAGGAAAATACTACTGGAAAAAAAAGTTTCTTCTGACTCATATTTTACGTAGATTTACTATCAGTGTTGAGCTCACTTCTATTTCGAATGAAGGTGTTTGAAAAAGAGATTCAAAGGTCGAACCAACCAGAGGACGACGGCTGATTCCTCGATTGGCTTTAATAAAACATTCTTGCTGAAGTTGGTTCAGAGGTAATCTATTTCAATTTTACTGAACAGTTGGTGAAATAACAGCCGGTCAAGAGGAATCTGCCGACGTCATCTGGTTAGTTCGGCCTTCGAAACTCTTCATCAAATACTTTCACTCGAAATGGAAGTAAGCTTGACAATTATAAACCAAAAGATTCTTCTAAACACAACTTTTATGACCAGGTATCAGTGCTTAGAGGCCCAAGGAACAATTGTCATCATCTAATACTTAAGAAAATTTATAATTATCCGAAATTGCCAATTTATAAAGGGGTAATAAAAACCACAGCAGAACATACAGAAGAATAGATCACCTAGTTTGACGTCGATCATGGAAGAATAATTTCCACGAAAGCTGTTCTTTTACTAGGCCGTTACTAGCACCTATTATAATAATAGGAATAGGGAAGATTACAACACGAACTAAAGAATACAGTTATATTTGATAAATTTATTGGAGGAGTCAATTATATATTTGAAAACGCTGTATTTGGCAAATTTCCTGTTATCATCAATAGCGAGGGCAGAATTCGAACCGGCGAATGGAAGTCTGTAGGTTGACATTTCAAGTATGGGCCGCTATATCCGAATATTATTGAATAAATTACAATCAGGCTGGCATAACTCAAAAGCCCTCATTCATCAGGCATCAACACTTGAAGCAAGTTATGCAAAATATTTCAGATATTTATAAATATTTTAGTTAGCTCCTCGGTCTGACTAGACTTTTTGATTTCTGACTTGCTATATCTTCATTCAG